AAATGATCGACTCACGGTCATTGATCACTCTATTATCGGTTCCCCTCGCACCGAAGAGGGGGAACTGGAAGCGGCCGCAAGCGGGCTCAACCTCTCGCACCGATTCTCCATGAAAATTATTCGATTCCACATGATGAGTCGTTTACCCGCCCTCAATTACATGAAAAAAATAATTTCAGGATTCCAATAGAAGAGTGGATTATTTGAAGAAGAAATTCCTGAATTGAAATTCCAGTTCAATTATTCCTGCGCGGAGAGAAATTTTTGATAAAAATTATCCTACCGTTCTATCAAAGTGTATCATGAGTCATCGTTTCCTCATTTCTATCCCGAAATTAGTTAAAATTAATATGTGATTTCCGGAATTTTTTCTGAACATTTCTCTCCCCGTGCTTCAAAAAATCCTGAAGTTCCAAAAATTTTGAAGGACTCCAGAATCTGCTCGAATTGAAGTAGCTCTAGGGGAGGGTGGGGCAAAACGGCCCCCCTTCAATTGTCAATAACTTGTGAATGACATTGTGAAAATTCCCAGTTTCAACTTCATTTTGAAGATAATTTTTCATTCTTCAAAACGAGCTCTAACTCATCCCAATCGGATTATTGAATCGGAAAATATTGACGATTGAAGGGGGGCCGTTTTGCCCCATCCTCCCCTATTTTCAATTTCTAAATTTTCCAACTAAATTGCATGAAAAAAATTTGAAAAAATTCATACGCAGTCAGTATTATCTAAATTAAATTTCGCAAAATATTGATATTTTTCAAACATTTCCCTCTTATAAATAAATAATAAAACTTGTTTGCAAAACAGTGGATTATTTTTTATGAGGTGTCAAAAAATTCTTGATTCTTTCACATCTAATGAAAAAAAATTCAGATTTTAAATTTTTATTACAATCGAAATGTTGATTTTCACATAAAACGCTGGGTTCAATCCAGATTGTAAAACATTTCTTCTTTGAAAAATCAGAACGATAATTAAATTGAGAGAAAAAGTCAGAATTGAGAATCTACTCGAGTTTTCTACAGTTTTCAATAACCTTTGAATTTACCGTAAGGATAGAGCTACTTTAAATCCGATTCTTCGACTTACTTCACGAACTCCTTGTTCACCTCTGCCATTCTCTCGAAATACCAGAGAAAATGTTGTACACCGGTAGATTATCGAGATATCGTTACACCTGAAATGACAGTTAATTCGTTCGCGAGATGGAAAAGGCAAAAAAAAATCCAAATGAGGCCAGTATGCCCGCATAAATCCCCCATAAATACGTATTTATGTGTAATTTAGGGGTCTGCGGGGCGGCGGCAACCCGTTCTCCCATACAAGGGATTAACCGCGACGATCCCGACGAGTTTTGCATTTTTCCCGTGTCCATTTTCTCCATGAACGAGCGACGTGATGTTTTCATCGAAGCCAGCATGTCCATAAGTGTTACAATTACATCAAAACCCCCATGTACCCCGTCTTTGTTCCAAAGGGTTCGATATCCTCCGTCAACCGGACTCGTTCATTTCAATATTTCAGTTATTCTTCGGTATTTCTTTATTTTCACCTGAATGTTAGCACGAGAGAGCCGGTAATTACCGGCGTGAGAACATCACAGCTGCACAAGGCTCTTACGTTCTACAATATATAATATGCATTTAGTACATAGCACCCAGCACACGCGTGTGTCGATGGATGTTCGCTCGAGAGCTCATCGCTCGGTAATTATTTAACTGTAAAGACGTAAACAACTGATGTACACGGGAATAGTCGACAAACGGTGGGGAGGCGTAAACAGAGGTTAAATTGTATGTAAAATACACTCTTTTGTTTGAGGTAGGCGTCAATATACACACGACGAGCATTGTAATACAAGGGCGCCTCTTCTACTATTTCGATTTAACATATATGCATATTTGAAGATATTTTTCCCATCGCGTGTGTATCACCGGCGTCGGTAAATCGACGTTGAACTTTTACGAAATAGAGGGGCGGGGGGGGCGGTGGTTTCTCGCGTGTGTGGATTTTCAGCCACGCATTTTACACGTCAAGGGCGCTAATAATATCTTTGCAAACGCACGGATGCGACCAGAAGTGAGAACATCGAGTTCTCACCTTCATGCGCTCGGAAATTATCGTGTGATTATTGCGGAGGGGGGAGAGGGCGGGGGAGGGGAGGG